GGGGGGGGGGATTGTTCATCCTCCAGCATTACTGTGATAATGTGTTTATATTATGCTATCCATAGGCTTGCTGGCATATAACGGTGGCTGGCTACAGAGCTAACTTCAGTAACCCTACAAACTTTACTGCTGTTTATTTTACTGTCTTTATGTATGTCTGAAGCGATAGCAGAGCTGTACATTTTAAATTTTCAAAAATCCCTCAGTAAGAACCTGGTGTATTATCTTTAGATGGAAATTAACCATCTACCCTAACCCTAACTCCCTGCTAACTTCTAACTCTGTTAAACTTCATAAATCCTGTTTTTAAGGGATGCCTGGATGTTAAACTTTATTGTTACATCTAGTAGAGCAGCCACACTGATCATTATATTGAAGATGAAATAATTTAGACAGATTTTAACTCTCAGTGAAGCCCGCAGTATTTGTTTGAGTTTGGCAGCTGAAGAGAAGTTTGGACCTGGAAACATCTAATGATGTGAGATGTTATAGGAGGAAATGATGATTAGTCTCCGGAGTGTCGGCCAGTGAGCACAGCGCCCACTAGAGAACTTCAAGCCACCCTCATGAAGTCTGTTCCTGATTTTGTGGTCAGAGACATTCACACCAGTGACCTGCTGGAGGTCATTTTGTAGCTCTGGCAGTGCTCATCTTGTTCTTCCTGGCACAAAGAAGCCGATACCTGCCCTGCTGATGAGTTAAGGATCTTCTCTGTCCCTGTCCAGCTCTTCTAGAGTAAAAACCTATCTCCCGGATTCTCCTCCATGCTCTTGAGATTGTGCTGGGACACAGCAAACCTTCTGACAATAACACGTATCCTGGATGAGATGAACTGCCTGTGCAACCTCTGTATCCATATCGCCTCATGCTACCAGCAGCCAAATGCAAAACTAGTGAACAAACAGTAAGAAAAGATGAGAAGGGAAAAGTGTCCCCCACATGTGAAACCATTATCTCTCATTGCTGCCCTTGTAGTGCACCTGTCGTCAATTTCATTAACACTAAAGCAGATGAAACTGATCAACATCCCCCCTCTGGTACTTACAGCTGAACAGATCAGTTTAACTAACTTGATGCTGTACTCTGATTAAAAACTGTTCCTTGCGATTGTACTCATAGTCTTTCCTTTCTCCCATAGGTTCACAGGAAGGAATATGTAAGTTTTTTGAATATACTTTTGATACTGAAATTAAGAGTTACTTTAATTTGCAGTTGTACTTGTATAGTTTTAGTTCATTTTTATTGTTTATTAATATTTTAGTGTTTATTTGGGTTGATACAATTATATATATTACCAAGATTGCACTGGCATTATAATTAACATTCTATAACGAGCTATGTACTGAAAGAAACAAACCGCAATACTCTCGACGCACGTTTAGTTTGCAGATGTTCTCATACAGTCTTTTCTGTTTTTTCATAGGTTCAGAAAAAGAAACGGGTAAGCTTGTGTTTTTTGTTTATTTATTTATTCTTTGCTTCAGTAAAATGTATTTTGACAAGTTTGTTGTAGTACCGACATTCCAAAAGAGCCCAAGTCCTCATTTTCTTTTTCAGGTTCCAAAAACTGATAAAACAAATACAGAATTCAACATAATTGTTTTAAAACAACCATATAGCATGTACGATATTTATTAAATGTGTGAATCTTACAGATTGGCCACACTATAGAAAACAAGACAAAAATTAATAGTTCATGCACTTTAAAAACTTTATTCATGCATAAATATGTGTTATCAAGGGAGTGTTACTTTGAAAATTAATACATGTTCAACTTCTTCTCAAACAGGAAGTGACATCCAAAATATTTTAATAGGAGTTCTTATCATGACGAACATCATTGTCCCCATGGCAATTTATCTGTACATGCGTAACCAGATTCAGCAGGTGAGTGGCAGCTCAGATGTGAATGTTGCTTAATGCAGGGATGTAAGGATGTTCAACTACACATTTAATTTAATACAATAAAGCAGGACAGCAAATGCTGATAAAAATAAATAAATGTGTAAAATTCCAGATAAAAGAGGGTAATTCCAAAAATTTACCAACATTTCCTGTTTAAAAAAACAAAAAACAAAAAAACCCCACTGAAAAACAAAATGGTAAATGGACTGGTTCTTATAGAGCGCTTTTTTACTCTTCTGAGCACTCAAAGTGCTTTACACAACTTGTGCATTCACCCATTTGCACAAGCACATTTTTCCTAGGTGCTCTCTAACTGACATTCACACACATTCATACTCCGATGGATGCATCGGAGAGCAATTTCGGGTTAGTATCTTGCCCAAGGATATTTGGCACGCAGACTAGGGGAAGCCAGGAATCGAACCACCAACCTTCCGACCAGTAGATGACCTCCTCTACCACCTGAGCTACAGCTCAGGTGGAAGAGCAATGATTGAAGACTCCGGTTAGAGTCTTTGCCAGACTGATTCTGGGCCCTGGGCCGTGTGTGTGACACATGTGGCTTAAAGAATGGTGTAGCAGCATGTACCCAGACATATATGGGCTCACATTGTGGTCATAAATATTTTGTACTTGTAAATCACAATGTGTAGTTGTGGACTGAGTACTTTGTAAACCAAAATATCTGAAAATGTTATGTTTGTGATCGATGAGAATTTATGAGTTTGTAAAAACTATTTACACAAGTTACAAATATTTTTGTTGAGGTCTGGCTACAGATACAAAGCAAAAAACTATGCGTAAAACTCTGCTCTCAAGGCTGTGTGTGACTTTCAACTTGCAGTTATGAAGTTTGACCCGGTTCCTTTCAGCAGATTGGTCAATGTCATGTAACAAATTTAACAATCCAACCAGATAACAGATGGGTGGGCTTTACTTACCCTCAGGCCCTTGAAGGGTAAATGCCCTTTCATGTGCCAGTGTTTTCCTTCATCACCACGAAGGAAAACATTTTGTGCGTGTCTGAGTTCGGTAAATTTTTGAGTCACAGGTTTATGTGTTTATACAGACCCAGAGCCTGTTCAACTGCTCACTTCAGGGGGAGAGCAGTGCTGTGCAAACAACAGACTCCTCACAAGTCGGGACAGTTACAAAGCTTTCTTCATTATGAATGAGCGATACGTGTTTTATTGAACATTTCAACATAATACAACACAAATTCTTGTAGAGGATATAAAGTAAGAGAGGTACATGTTTTGAAACGACAAGGAGCAGGCGCATCTAGTACACGAAGAGCTGCTGCAAAAAAATGACAGCGGCCAGCGCAACAAATGTTGGATCCTTCACTCTTAGTTAGCGATGAGTGCAGCGCATGCTGTATCTGTTGTAAAAGGGCCTTTATGCTGCACCGTGTGACTCACAGCAAAGGTCCCGGGTCAGCCCTGACTTTGTGTTAACGTAATACTAAAGTAATAATGGTATTTCTGACTGGTATAGCACAACTTTATCTTTCCAACAGCTACCGAAAGTTAAGGGACCTAGCTTGTATGAGCCTCATGGGATATTAATATAGAGATCCTCCAGCTTCAAACTGTATCACCCTTCCAGGACCTGAAGCTCAGTAAAGCTGAGTAAGCCAAACTCATCTGATTTCTGATTGTCATGGCAACCACAAATTTAACAATCCAAAGACCAATCGGCTTAAACGAATTTGTACTTGCAAGTTGAAAGTCACACGCAAGCGAGGGAACTTGAGAGTTTTACACGTAGATTTTTGATTTGTATCAGTTTCTGTGAGAACATGAGTATGACAGAGTGTTAAACCTTTTATGTAATAGCACAAATTTGTCACATTGATGCGGAAATGAACGTTGACCATGGCTTCTGTTTCATTTCTGCTTCAGATTCCAAACTTGAGGGAAGAAGTAAGAATGACAGAGATGCAGGTATTTTTGTAGAATGTGGATGCTAACTCACTGTAACTGAAGCACAGAGGATTAGGATACAACTAAACTTGCAGTTATTTGATAGTCTTACTTAGATATTACATTTCAGTAATAAGAACAACAGAAGTGATTTATCTGTTTCTTAACATTTGTAGAGAGTCAACTTTGTGTTAAACCCTGGTCAGCGTGTTTTTGCTTTAACAGTATTATTTTCTTCTCTTTTTAGCAAAACACATTTCCCAGGGATGTTGAAGAGGGTTCCATTTTATTAACGGTAATTTTTACTGTACTACTACTTTCATAAACGGTGCCTTTAAAAGACTTAATGTTTCAAACATGTGGTTTCCTTGACTGATGAGACCAGACAAGACCCGAATGGAAACACAGCCTTGACTGATTTGATATTTGTTCCCACTAAGTGTGCTTTTTTTTTTTTTTTTTTTTTGTCAGCAGAGGTCCAGCTGTAACTACAAAAATCTATTTTTCCAACAACTGTAGGTAAAAAAACAAAACAAAACAAAACAAAAAAAAAAACTGTGTCTGCTTATGTGCTCGATACTGGACTTCTCTCAGCTGGGAAGAAACGCACAGATCACTGGGTTAAGTTTCCTTTGTGAGGAGCTGATTAAAAAAACGTTAGACAAAAGTAGCATTTTCTTATTTTTTGTGACTAACAATTTCATGTTGAAAAATAATCTACCTGTTTTATTTTGCATTATTGTGAAATTCAGCAATACACCATTCAGAAATTACCACCAGCTGACTTTTGCAAGTCTTTCTATTGAGTCTGTTCAAATATGGGTTTCTGCAGGAGTCCCCAAATTTCCACAACATCTTTGCCAACGACGTGAAAAAAGATTTTGGCCACATGACACAACACAGATATTTTGTTTGATGCGTGTCTTTTGGACTTCACATTCATTTTAACTGGCTTTTTTTTTTTTTTTGTAACTTGACTCTCACCTCTGTTTCTATTGTAACTGGTCTTTAAGTGATGACATGATGAATCCTGCTAATGGGCCCAAACTACTCTGCATTTAATAAGGCTGTTGATCAGAGATGATCACAAGCTGACTTTTACTTCTTTTTTTTTTACTAGTGTCTGTTTAAATATCTTTCTTTTACATATTTTCAACTAGCAAGCACGCAGACATTTTTTTAAATGTCCCAAATTACAGATCCAGGTTTATTTTGACGGCAAGGAAGGCCACTGAAAATGTCAGTATGTAGTATGTAAAGTATGTCCATCCATCCATCCATCCATCCATCCATCCATCCATCCATCCATCCATCCATCCATCCATCTTCATCCGCCTTATCCGGGGCCGGGTCGCAAGGGCAGCAGCCTAAGCAAAGAGGCCCAGACCTCCCTCTCCCCAGCCACCTCCTCCATGTAAAGTATGTGTGATATTTAAAGCTAAAATTCTACAGAATTTGAGACGAATGACTCTCTACCAGTTTGGTCAAGGAGAGGGTTCAGATATCCAGCCATAAGACCATTCTTGGCTATGAAAAGCACCTGGTTGATGTGGCTAAAGGACATTTACATTAATATTAATAAGGGTGGCTGATCTATATATTGGAGCATGCATGTATAATTCTGACACAGTGTGGATTAGAGAAAGTCCAAAATAAATTCAAACCTGTGCACCAAATACTTGTGTTCATAAAGTTATAAAAGATGTACGCTTTTATAACAGTCCAAAGAAATCACGGTGTGAAAAAGACTTTTAACGCAGTCTTTTGGACTTTTTATTTTAAATGTACTTTCACTTACTGACTACCTCTATCTCTATTGTATTGTCTGATACATGGAGGTCTAAGCAAGAAAACTACTCAGGGTTTGGGAAAAGATCACAGTTCAGATACACAGCCCAGGATGCTCCATTTGAAAGCTTACCCAAAGATATGGACTACTCAGTCAGATCTTTGGGACTGATAAGAGCTGACTACAGTCACTCTGCCACAGAAACCTCCATTAAAAATTATCAGCCATGCGTTTCGCCAGTCAGGCACAAACTTGACTAAATGCTTTTCTCTTTCTCTTTGTCATACAGACGCCCGAGAGTTCCATCATCATAAATTCACCTGAAAACACCATAATTTAAAGCCCTTGCCCAAATAGAACACACCATTAGAAGTTCTGAGCTGCTGAGAATCTGGATAAATCTGGATACGAGGATCTGCCTTACACAGATCTGGACTTACACAGTCCAGGTGAAGTAAAGGTGGTCTGTGAAGGCCTATGCGCCTAAAGGTGGATAAGCTTCCAATGTGAAGAAGAGTGGGACCAAACAAGCCACAGCATGCCTGTTCATGTAACTGCTCTGCAGTCGCACATCAAGATTGTTTTCTGTCCGCCTCATGCAAAATGTTTTACTGCTGTGCTGGTTTTAAGTGACCAAGGTCTTACCAGAAGAAGTGCACTGCAGAAAATCTGTTTTAACACGAACAATAACGAGTTGGTTTTTTGTCATATTTAGAATAATTTTAAACACAAAGACACAGATTATGCGTGTAGTCAGTAAACATATATATGTGTGTGTCTCTGTGTGTTAAAGTGTTCCACTGTGCAGACTACTATATTTAGTGTGACTGCGAAAGAAAAAAGTTACGTTTTTATGGCTAATGGACTAATTGCCTCTGTTCATGTGTGCATATTTGGGGAAAGGTTTGGTGGCTTTTTTTCTATTCCTTGTATGTATTAAGTATGTTGTGATAAAGCTTCAGCTGAAAAGCTAAAAGTGCCTAAAAAAAATTAAATATTATAATTTTTTTATTGCACAATGCACATTAAGCGAAGCCACCATAAAAAATTGAGCTTTTACCTTTTTCTAAGCCAGCTGTGCTAGCTTTACCCCTAAAATGTGATCTTATCTGTTAACAGTTGTTCTAGATAAGTTCTCACTGTACAGTCTTCATACATCCATCGAATGTGTTTGTGTTTCATGGAAGTATAAATAGAAAAGTCCCTACCACAATGCTTTCATTATTTTCATAAATCACTGCAAAAACAAAGAGATGTGAAAAAAGCGGTCTTCTCTGCACTTTTTAATTTTCATACTGTCACGTTATTTCACACATATATGGTAGATGGTCTGTATTTGTATAGCGCTTTACTTGGTCCACTCTTGTGTATGTGTAATTATCCCACATATCTGTCCCTCACATATGGAAGACTGTAGACATTGTTCTGTGTTTTCAGTTTTTGGCTTTTGATGCATTTGTGGAATATATTTTAGTTTTTGTTTATGTAAAAATTTTTATTTTTATATATTTTTTAAGCCAACCACTTTATTTATTGTGTTTGTAATAGAGACTGAGTAGGAGTTTTTTTGTTTTGTTTTTGAATGTGTAGATGTGAGCTTAGACAAGCATCTATGATTCCCATACATACTCCTTGGTGTGGAACAAAAATGTCCAGACTGAAAAGAGAAAAAGGGAAAAATGTAAGCAGATAATAGAACGGACCCGGTGAACATATCTGAGCACAGGAGTCAGACTTGTAAAGTGTATAAAAAGCTATATTTAAAACCAAGTAATAAATAAGAAATGAATAAAAAAGAAAAATCAAACAAAACATTTCTTTAATTGAAACAGTCACATTAAGGAATCATCTACACCAGGGGTCCCCAAACCCCGTCCACAAGGGCCGGTGTCCCTGCAGGTTTTAATAATAATAATAATAATAATAATAATGGATTGGATTTATATAACGCTTTTCAAGGCACCCAAAGTGCTTTACAATGCCACCATTCATTCATTCGCGCATTCACACACTGGTGGAGGCAGCTACGGTTGTAGCCACAGCTGCCCTGGGGCAGACTGACAGAAGCGAGGCTGCCATATCGCGCCATCGGCCCCTCTGGACAACACCAGTAGGCGGTAGGGTAAAGTGTCTTGCCCAAGGACACAACGACCAGGACAGAGAGCCCGGGGATCGAACTGGCGACCTTCCGGTTACAGATACGCTTCCCAAACCCCTGAGTGAGATCTAAAACCCCTGAGTTTTAGATCTCACCCTGAATCACGTGATTAGTTCATTACCAGGCCTCTGGAGAACTTCAGGACATGTTGGCTGTATCCCAATTCAGGGTCTGCAGCCTTAAAGTACGCAGCCTTGACGGTCCACACGGGCCGCGTACTCAAAGACCGCTAAGGCTGGAAGTGCGAGGCTTCTGAAATGGGACGGTCTAGCCTCCGTTGCGCTGCCCAGGTTGCCTAGCAACCATGACACTAACTGCTGGAAACGTTTCATACAGCTTTGTTTGACAGAAATAAAGGAGAAAATCTTTTGTTCATTTGTTTGTTTGTTTCTACATGAGCTTTGTGTGATGTGATAAGTATCTGAGGCTGAGACCACAGGACTGTGAAATCATGATTATTGGGCTTCATTTCTGTGCTGAACAGTCATTTAAGATTAGCTAGTAAATAACAATCAGCTAATGTTGTTCATGAGACTAAAGTCATCTCACTTTGGTGATGCAAATATAATAAGTTATTATTTCAATCATTATTAGTTATTACAGCAGTGAATGAACTCTGTTTCAAATACTGAGCTTCAGTATTTATTTATATTTCCTGTCACCTTAAATCTTCATTCAAAGACAGGTTCCTTTGACACTGTATGTATAAATGTATTATATATAAGAGACTGTCAAGAGATGCATTCTTAAACACTTTTTCAGTTGAGAATCAGAGAGGAGAAACACAGTTTTACTTGTATACAAGGGCAGCACAGAGCACTCGCACTGAGAGTGAGGGCTCTGAGACTCGCAGCTCTGTGACTGCCCTGGTCTTTATTTATATATCGGTGGGTGTTTGTTCCTTACATTGGAATGGTTGGTTTCACCCAAATGTATCAGTAAGCCTAAATTTGGTCAATGGCTGCACTGCAAAAACAGCTATACTTGAAACACACCAAATATTCTTAAATCTGACAAAATTTTCTTGTTTTGAGCAAAAAAATCTGCCAATGGGGTAAGCAAAAGTTGCTTGACTAGAATTCTTAAAACTAGCAAATTAATCTAACTGCCATATGCCTTTTAACTAGACAAAATTGTCTAAAATGTATGCTTATTTGAAGAAAATGTGACTTATCATAATTATAAGTAAAAGATACTTTGATATTTAGAAAATCTGTACCTAAAATGAGTATTATGCTTTCTTGAACAAGCTGTTTTCAAGAATTATTTGCTTACTTTAAGATTCTACACCTTAATTTAGATTTTTCAAATAAAAAAAACACCTTACTATAGGACAAATTTTCTTAAAACTGAATTGTTTCTTTCTTGATTGAGCTAACTATAAGAATTATGTTTCGACTCTGAGAACAATAATCAGCAAAAATTCCTGAGAATAAGACACCATCTCTTCAAAAAGCTACTAAAAATAAGGGAATTCATCTTAAATTAAGACAGCAAAAGCACTCTTAGTTTTTGCGCTTTTATTGACACAGCAATGGGTCAGAAACTCACTGAGGTCTGTTCCAGGAGAATCATGTCTAAAATTATACATTTCAGCAGGGTACTGTGTAACATGGCCAATATAAGAAGTGCATATTCCAGATACTCTTAACATGAATAATAACAGTATAACACACTCATGGCTGGTATCAAAAATAAATTTTGCTGAAGCTTAAAACAAGCACTATTTCAAATCCTATATTACATAACATTTTAGAAGAACAAGTTTAACGACCACACAAACAAACATGTGTTTTACATTTGAACAACTTTTCTAGAGAAAAAAAAAACAACCTTACTGACTAACACTGAGTCTGATAAACAAGGCAGATGGAGTCTGTCATCTGAGAGACTCACTCAATGAATGACTTCCACTCACCAAGCGCCTTCTTGTAAGAGGGGGTTGAATCTCGGTCATGGATGGAGTCTTTGAGTATTTCCGTTTGCAAGACAGACAGCAGCGTAAAAATGCACTTTGGATATGTGAGGTGGAGGGCATAGTAATATGCCATCAGATAGAGCAGTCCCTCATTAAGATCCTTCCGGTCAAAAGTGCTCACCGGTGTGGTTCCAACAGCTATCATGCAGCCAGGGGTCGCTGACGCAGGTAGCCTTCAGGGTCTTCTGAAGTGTACATGACAGAAAAAAAGAGGATTAGAACAAGACCGTAAGAAACACAATTTTTGAGTTGCATTACAGTTTAAAATAGATCAACTTTTTTTGTAGGTTTTACTAACATCAACATGTTATGGGGATCTAAACTTTAAGAATATTTGACTGACTCCACAGTAAAATATATAAAATGAAAACATGAGTAACTGCAAAATTCAACAATATATACACATAGAATATTGCAGCCTTACCTTTAGGACATGGAAAAAAGCCTCACTACAGATGCCCAGCTTCTTAGGTGGTACTGTGCTGGAAGGGAAAAGCACGGGAAGGGCTCTGAACACAGCTGATGCATGTTCCACTGGTTTGAAAAAAGAAAAATAAGACAGGGCAACACCATTAAGCACTGCAAATAATGTAATCTGCAAAGCATAAATGTAGACAAATCAAGATACTGTAGCATTACCTCCATCCAAAGTTTTTGGCGGCTTCATAACTTTCTTCATGACACCATAAAACTGCACCTGCGAGTAGAAGATTTCCCATCTATCCTTCATCTCAGAAATGTATTTCAAGTTGGATGGTTGAATAATTCTCCGCAGCTCATCAAGGACCTGAAAAATACAGACAGAAACCCAACTGAGATAGATCTGTCTAGCTCTGTATCTGGTCTTGACAATAAGTGATAACAATTTAAACATGAGGGCCAGTATTTAAGAAATTTGAAAATCATATCAAAATGTCCCCAAAGGAATAACAGGATGGCTAAAAGAAATAAGTGCGGCTTACATGATCCGGTTCTCTCAAACAAGGATATGCCTCTAGTATCTTCACTGCTCTGTCCTGCTCCTTTATAGCATCAGAGTTAATGAATTGTCTTCTAGACTCAAACTCCAGGTTCAGCAGTTGGGTAACAGCAGCTTTGTTCGGTTTTTTGGTCTTGTATATTTCTTGAAGTGT